CGTAGTGCCCAAGACATTTGACTGCTAACCAGAAAGCTGGTGATTCAAACGCACCAGCCACTCCTTGGAAGGAAGGTTGGACAATCTACTTCCATAGTGATACCGCCTTGGAAACCCAAGGAGGGGTCACTGTGAGTCAGATCTGACTTGATGGCAGTGTGATAGATAGAGAAGATAGGTGGCTGTCACAGCCAGGGGATACTACACCTTGTGTGCTTTCTTCAGGGAAGCGTAATACTTAGACCACCAGTCAATGACATTTTCAGCGGACTCATCAGCTATGGTCCTCTTCCTTCTTTTAGTGGACCTCCGGGAAGGCTTCTTGGTATCCTGGCAAGAGTAAGGGATGGGTTATTGGCTAAAGGCTCACTGAGCTACATGCTGCTGAGCAGTTGCTGACTGGGGAGAGAATATATAGGTGCTCACTGAAGCAGATGGAGGTGTTAGTTGCTTTTGTGTTATCAGCTCCCTGTATCATTTCAATAACTGAAAGTGTAATAATCCATTCATTCATTCAACAAACATTTATGGAGCAGATGACAGCTATTATGCTTTACATTGGGGATGTTAGGGGAACTGGACACAATCCCCACATATAGGAAGCTTACGATTCAGTAGAGAAGATAGGCATGCCACAAATGAGTGTCCAACTGTACAATACAATGTGGTACAGTAGAAAGGGCAGTAGCATCTGTCAGGCCTGGGTTAGAGATCATAGCACAGTATTAACTATACATTAAATAATTATATAACTTTTGTGACTCTCAATTTCCTCGTTTAGTTGAAAATAATACCTGCTTACTTCATTGTTGTGAGGACTAAGTGACATATATAGGCAAAGCCCTGTTAACATTGTTTCCCATTTTAACAGGTGTAAATATATGGTGCTTATAACATACATGATGTGGTGTAGGAGTGGCAGTAATACATGTATGGCAGAAAGGGGCATTTGTGGGAGAAGACAGGTTACCTGGACAAGATTCATTATGTATCCATCATCTCTAAGTACCTCTGTATGCCAGGCACTGTGCTGAGTGTAGGGGATACAGAGGGGTTAACACATCACCCCTGACCTGCTGGACTCAGTTTCATTGTGCCAGTAAACACCTAAACTGAGAATTCCAGTATAAAGTGTCAGGTCAATGCTGATGGAAAGAGAGAAACCAGTGAGGGGTCACAGAGGATCATGTCAAGCACAGGTGAGATGGGAACAGCCTGATAAAATACCATTATTTTATCTTCCTCTGTTTTTTATTTCAAGGAGCTCTGGTGGCACAGTAATTAAAGCGCTTGGCTGCTAACCAAAATGTCAGTGGTTTGAACCTACCAGCTGCTTGGCAGGAGAAAGATGTGACACTCTGCTTCCATAAAGATTATAGCCTTGGAAACCCTATGGAGCAGGGTCAGAACTGACCTGATGGCAATGGGTTTGGTTTTCTGGGTTTTTGTTTTGGCTTTTTATTTCAGCCTTTAGCATTTGTTGGACATGTAATTCTTTAGGACCTTCTTATAACTGGCTCCTCCTTTAATTTAATTGATTCACCAGGATTTCATACTCAAATGTATGATGTAGACACATTAATCATATCCTTGTTTTATGGTTCTCCATTTACTTGCCCATCTCCCCTTCCAGAATCTCAGCTGAGGACAAGGAGTCTTACTGCTCTTTAGACTCCAGAAGACACAGCTTTTTGGTCCCATATAACCTTGCACAACCAAACCAAAAAGCCTATAGTCATTGAGTTGATTCTGACTCGTAGCAACCCTATAGGACAGAGAAGCAATGTCCCATAGGGTTTCCAAGGCTATAAATCTTACAGAAGTAGACAGCCTCATCTTTCTCCTGTGGCTGATGGTTGCAAACCATGGACCTTTTGGTTAGCAGCCGAGTGCTTAAACCACTATGCCACCAGGATTCCTGATCTTGCACAAATTAGGTTCTAACTATTTGTGGAATAGCTCCAGATGAAGAAACCATTGTCTTTGCAAGCTAAAAAATTCAGAGGAGTTTCTCTTTAATTAAACACTGTCCTCATATTCAGCTAACAATACACTGACCTACCTGATCTTAGCAACAGTGCTGTGAAGTGGGCATTATCATGTCCATTTTACAGATGAGGAAAACGATGCTCAGAAATGTAAAGCTGCTTGGCTAAGGTCACACAGCTAGTAAGTGGGAGGATTAGTGTCTAGGACATCCATTAACATGATGAGAGAATTGCATTCTGACCTTAGATTTCCCATCTTTGGGTGGCTCTGGAGCTGCAGACTTGAGTTTGGGCTCCAGTATCTGGGATGAGTCAGGGATGTCAACCAGGCTGTCCTGCTGAACCTGGGCAGAGTCAGGAACCACTGTGGGAGGTGGCTCAACATCCACATAGATGTGATCTGTTGGGGGCTCCTTGGAAGAGCTGAGAGGCCTGAGGGACTCAGTGTCTGTTAGTGGATCTGAAACAGTTGAAATAGTAGCACATCAGGTCAGGCAACTGCAGCTGAAATGCAGGGTGGTTGTGTTAGGAGCCAAATACAGGGGATCAGCAGATCCAGGTACAAAACTGGGAGGTCCCTAACATCTCTGAACCTCACTATCCTCCTTTATAAAATGATGGTGAAAATACCCAACTCAGTGGAGAATTAAATGAGATCATGATGTAATGTGTCTGCCACACAAAAGGTAATTAATAAATGGTTGTACTTATTATTCATCCCTCAGAATAATTTTAATCAACCATGGTGTAATGGATTGAATTGTGTCCCCAGAAACATGAATCATCTTGGCTAGGCCATGATTATCAGTATTATGTAACTATCCTCCACTTTGTGATGTGATGTAATTATCCTATGTGTTGTCAATCCCAACCTCTATTAACATTAACAGATGTTAATGAGGCAGGAATATTGGCAGTTAGTGAGGCAGGATACAATCTACAGGATTAGGTTGTATCCTGAGTCAATCTCTTTTGATATATAAAAGAGATTAAATAATCGAGAGAGATTAGAGGGACCTATGACCACCAAGAAAGAAGAGCTGGGAGCAGAACATGTCCTTTGGACCCAGGGCCCTTGTGCTGGGAGCCTCCTAGACCCAGGGGAAGACTGATGCAAGACACATGGAGATCTCCAAGGGACAGTGGGCCCACAGATGTTGAAAGGAGATGAGGACATTCCCCTAGAGCCAACAAAGTGAGAAAGCCTTCCCCCAGAGCTAGTGCTCTGAATTCAAACTTATAGCTTCTTCAACTGTGAAAGGATGTATTTCTGTTTGCTAAAGCCACACACTTGTGTTATTTCTATGATAGCAGCACTATATATGTGGTCATCAGGATCATGGAAATCAAGATTTAAGACACAAGTTCCTCTGTGTTGTCTTTCCCTAGTGGGTTAACTCAGGGAGACCTGGAGGTTCCAGAGGGCTATGAACTCCCCAAGTGTAGGTAGAACTCTGGGTCTGTGTCCATGTGCCTGGCAGGGATTTCATGAGATTCTTAACTGGGCTGTTGATCCTATAAAAAGGTCCTAACACTGTCCTTTCCTGGAAGGGACCTCTTCTCTGAGTTTTGTACTGTGGCATTTAGGATGTACAAACTCCCAATGTGCAGACTCTGGCTGCCACAGCCTCCAGAGTTCCCTTCCCCCAGTTGCTGGCTTTTCATCAGTACCTTCAACCAAACCAACCCTTACACGAATCTATTCTGTGCTGGGTGGGCACAGAGATGAAGAGACCAGGAGACAGAAAGCTCAGAATAGGCCAGGATGTACAGCACTTTGATTTATAAAAAAGATAACAGCATAAACCAATGGATAAAGGAATGACTGGAGAAACAATGTGCACTATATGGAGAAAAATGCAGCCAGTTCCCTACCTCAAACCAGATACAAACACAGATGGGTAAAGATCTGAATGTAAAAGGTAAAACCATTAAGTTAATGAAATAAAATATTAGATCATATCTTTGTGAGGATGAAAAAAGGCTTTCTTAAACAGGACTGTTGTTGTTGTTATGTGCCGTCGAGTCAGGCCCGACTCATAGAGACCCCTCCTTGGGTTTCTGAGGTAGTATCACTACGGAAGTAGATTGCCCAACCTTCCTTCTGAGGAGTGGCCGGTAGGTTTGAACTGCCAGCCTTCTGGTTAGCAGTCAAGTGCCTTAGGCACTATGCTACCAGAGCTCCTTAGACAAGACTAGCAAGTCCAAACCATAAAGTTTAAAAATTAGATGGATTTCATTCCTTCAAAATTAAGGATTTCTATTTAAAGATGGGGGAGTCATAAACAAAGTTAGCAGTTATCAGATGAGGACAAGATGTGACCAATTTCTCCAATCTATAGAGTAAGAACATGTAGAATATACAAAGAACTTATCAATCAAAAAGAAAATCAAGGAAACACATAAAACATGGGCAAATGATATGAACAGGCAAATCATAGGAAGAAAAATTAAGACTGGCAACAAGCATATGAAGAGCTGTGCAAACTTAAAAGCAATTCAGAAATCTAAGCTAAAGTAAAAATGAGACGTTACTTTACACCCACCAGATAGCAAAACCCCCAAATGAATCATCTTCTTGTTTTATGGTTCTCTGTTTACTTGCTCATCTCCCCTTCCGAAATCTCAGCGAACTGAGGACAAGGAGTCTTACTGCTCTTTAGAATCCAGAAGACACAGTTTTTGGTCCCATATAACCTTACACAACCAAACCAAAAAGCCTACAGTCAAAACCAAAACAAAGCCTCATAAAGTTTGATAATAGGAGGTGCTGTTGAAGAAGAGGAAGGTGGAGCTCCATGCACTGCTGGTAGACTGGTGTAGAGTGGCACAGATTGATGTACCTGTTGTTGTCATGTGGATTCTGGTTCATAGAGACAGAGCCGTGCAGTCACAATCTGACTATAGAACAGAGTACAACAGCCCCATAGAGTTTCCAAGGCTCTAAATCTTTACAGAAGCAGACAGCCCATCTACCTCCTGCATTGTAGCTGGTGAGTTTGAATCAACCTTTTGGTTAGCACTCAAGTGCTTACCCACTCCTCCATGCAGACTGTTGTAAACTGGTCCAACCATCTAGATTGCCCTCTGGCAATACTTAATGCAGATTCCTTGTGACCCAGCAGTCTCACCTCTGGGTGTATATTCACAGAAATCCCGACCTCCAGATGCTCCCTCAGGGAACACACACAAGGATATTCATCACATTATTTGTGGAAGTGGGGAATTGGGGGCAGCCTGAGACCCCGTACAGAGAATACAATACAGAGAAGATAAAAAGTAGATACAGTAGACACTGGTAAGAAGCTAATGTGCACATAGCAACATGGATAGATCTTAAGACGCAAGCATTGAATGAAAATGATTAAGAAACTAAATGAAGAGCATAGTACCACATCAGTCATGTAAATTAAAGGCCACACACAGCTTATAAAGATTGGTGATGTGGAGCCCACTGTAGGGAGGGAACCAAGAGTGGGGGTAAGGAAAAAGGCACGGGGGGAGGTGAATATAACGAGAAGACGCCTTAAACAGACCGATGATGATTGTATGTTGTTGTTGTTATGGCCAACCAAAAAAACCACACTGACTCCCATCAAGTCAATTCTGACTTGTAGAGACCCTGTTGTTATGTTGTTGTTATGTGCCGTCGAGTCAGCCCTGACTCATAGCGACCCCTCCTTGGGTTTCCGAGGCAGTATCACTACGGAAGTAGGATTGCCCAACCTTCCTTCCGAGGAGTGGCTGGTGGGTAGAACTGCCCCATAGAGTTTCCAAGGTTGTAAATCTTTATGGAAGCAGACTGTCCCATCTTTCTCCTGTGGAGTGGCTGGTGGATTCAAGCCACAGACTCTTTGGTCAGCAGCCAAATGCTTTAACCACTGCACCACCAGAGCTCCTGATTGGACAGGAGCCAGGATACGCAACAAACTCAACTCTGCACTTAAAAATCCAAAGCGAACTCAAATGAAATAACATCAAGCACAAAACAAAGTAACGTGCTAGGGAGTGGAGGCAAGGGAGAGCTTAGGTTATATGTCGTGAAGGCTTAGAGGAGTTGATCCTGACATGAGTGTTACAGGCAGAGTTTGGCAGCTAAAGAAGGTAGAAGGGACCACAGGAACAAATTCTTCAGTAAGGGCACTGTCTGGGGGGCATGTTATGGCACGTCCCATAGCTGGCACTACGTGGGCACCATTGCTTTATGGTCTGTGGTCCAGAATCTAGAAGAAGCCTCTTACCTTGCTCAGCTTGAGCTCCATCCACCTGCGAGATGAGGGAAGGGGGCTCCCTGGATTTGCACAGAAACTGCTTTAAGCAGTTGATGGTGTAGGTGCCTACCAGCGTGCTCCTTCCGAAAGCTCTCCAGTCCACCACACAGATGCTCAGGGGCGGATGCAGAAGCTCATTCTCAGGCAGCTCCTGCAGGGAGAGGGAGCTCTCAGTAGGGGCTGCAGGGAGGGAAGTAGGAACCTTGCCTGAGGTGAGCCTGGCTGCTCTGGCTTTGGGACAGGGCTGAAATCAGCCAGGCGCCCACCCTCGCTGGGTCCCTGCTTATCGTTCTATCCCTCCTGGCCACACCCACAGCTTGTCTTCATTGTCTTCCAGGCCTAGGGAGTAACTACCTAAAATATGAAGGAGTCTTTGGGTGCCTCAGTGACGCACTCTACTACTGGCCGAAAGGTTGGTGGTTCGGACCCACCTAGGGGCACCTTAGAAGAGAGAACTGGTGAGCTGCTTCTGAAGGGTCGCAGCCTTAAACACGCTATGCAGCAGTTATTCTCCTCACGTAGGTCACCATGAGTCAGAAGGGACTCAACAGCAGCTACTACGAAAACACCAGGGAAGTCTTACTAACAATTCATCCCAGGTTTAAATTTCAAAAACCACACACTTCCGTATTCTCTGTGGCTGCAGTTTTTAATCTTCTCATCTCTTTCTTATTAACTAGCAGAACTCTGACTTCCAGTGAAAGTTTAACCAGCCCCAACATATAAAATAGAAGGAAGTTAAGCCACTAAAAACAAAACTGGGGTCAGACCAGGCCCTGCCCACCTGTCTGCCTCAGTGGCTCCTCAGGTTCCACGAAGCCCAGTGTGAAAGGTTTGCAAACTCTGTGCATGTTCATATTCTAATCTTTGTTCATTTGGAATTATGTGTCCATTGAGGCTCACTGGGTTGGATAAAACGAACTTTTTTTTCATGATTTGTTTCAAATCATAGCACAAAAAGTAATGCAAGGAGATGTTGAAACAAACAAACAACACAGGTATCAAAAAACATCGCTGTAGAAGTACAAGTTCACCTGTGAACTACTGACATGCTAAGTACAAATCATTTTTTTAAAAATCTAACCATTAAAGTAAATCTTGTTAGGGGATCTTCTAGGCCAGTGATTCTCAAACGTTAGTGAGTATCCAAACCACCTAGAGGACTTGTGAAACCAGAGATCCCTGCCTCATAGCCCACAGTTCCTGATTCAGTGAGACTGGCATGTGTTTGCGTGTCATTGAGTCGCTTCTGACCCCTAGTGACCCTGTAGGATAGAGTAGAATGCCCCATAGGGTTTCCTGGGCTGTAATCTTTATGGAAGCAGGTCACTAGTCTTTTCTCCCACAGAACAGCTGGTGGGTTTGAATCATCCACCTTTGGGTTGACAGCCAAGTGCTTAACCAGTGCACTGCCAGAGCTCCTTAAGACTGGCATAGGGTCTGAGAATTTGCGTATCTAACACATTTTCAGGTGACGCTGATGCTGCTTAACTGGGACCACCCTTTGGGACCCACTCACTGGTCTAGGCAGCACCGTGTCAATTTGCTTCAATTTACTATATTGTCTTCACTTGAAATCTTTAAAATCAAACAAAAACAACAGGAATTTATCTTCTGCCATTCTGAATTCTGGCTTTTCACTTTTTTAGACTGCTCTTTCTTGCAGACATCTGAAACTCCAGCACACGTCCCCAAGCCCAGTTACCGACGAACCAGGGAAGGAGAAGGTCAAGAGAGGCAGGAGAGGAGAGGCTCGCACCACTTCAAAGGCATCGGCCTGGACGCTGAAGTTGGGGTTGTTCTTGTAGCTCTGGATCACACAGGACTTGACTCCTCGCCCCCCACACTCGATGAGAACCTGCGGCCGGTCCACTGAGAGGAGCTGCACCTTCTTCATTTCTCGGACTCCCCAGAAGAGAACCTGATGAGAGAACCAGCAGAGACATCACTCATAGACCCAAGGAGAACCAGCATGCGCTCCCTGGCCTTGGGGTGGAAGTCTGACATGCTCCCTGGAGACTGCAAGATGTTCTTCCAAGAGTGAGCTGGACAGCTCCATGGGAGTTCTGTCTGGATGATGTTTAGCTAGGTCTCCTGCCCCTCCTTCGATGCCCTCATACACTGCAGGTAGGTCCACTGTCCTTTAACCCTAAAGAACAACTTGACTCTCCCCCGCCACATACCTCCACTCTGTATTTGCTCAGCACAGGCCGAATGTTGGTAGGAACTGGGTAGATCTGGGCGATGTCTGGTGGGTCAATGGGAGGTAGCCCCTGTAGCCCAGATGCTGGGACCTACCACACAAAACAAGTGCTGGTTAAAGGGGTGGAGAGAGGAAGCCAGGAAGACTATGAGAGTCCCCGATTGTCTTATCAGTAAGACAATCACTGTTTTGTTAATGAAAGTAATGTTTCCAGCTGGAAATGCAACAGGGACCATGCAGTTTACCACATTTAATTACTTACTGGTGAAGAATATTGAATACAATGTGGACTACCAGAAGAACAAACAAATCTGTCTTGGAAGATGGGCAGCCAGAATGAGCCTTAGAAGTGAGGATGACGTACTTTGGACCTGTTATTGGGAGGACCAGTCCCTAGAGAAGGACATCACGCTGGTAAAGTAGAGGGTCAGCAAAAAAGAGGAAGACTCTTAACGAGATGGACTGACACAGCAGCTGCAGTGATGGGTCCAAGCATAGTGAGGGTTGTGAGGGTGGCGTAGGACTGGGCAGTGTCTTGTTCTAGTGCACGTTGGGTTGCCAAGAATCAGAACCAACTCAACAGTACCTAACAACAATAATGGTTATTCATTTATGAGGATGCATTAATTTGCAAGGATCATCAACATTTATTGAACACTTATGCACTGGGTTAATAAGACACAGCTTTCAGTGAGCTCACAGTATAGAGAAGAGAGAAAAAAGACATGTGGGTAAACCCTCCAAATGTGGATAAGATTACACAGCAGCTACAGCAGTGAAATTGGGAAGGAGCTCTGGTTGATCCTGAAACTTTGGGCTTTAACTCTTCTTCTATTTGCAGTTTGTCAAGGTCCCCAGAGAAACTATAATACCTATTACAAAAAAGATTCCTATTTCATCATGGCAGAGACTACATCTTAATCAGTGAAACAGAAAGTCTTTTGAAGGTGCAACCCTAAGATGAAAGAATATCACTTCTTGTGTGTTTTGGATTAATGAAACTGCAGGAGGCTGATCATGGTGCTTTACTGAAATCTCACACAAAGGACTCAGTTCTGCAAAGAAAAAGATCTTTCTCACAGTGTGTGTCAGCCCTCACGGCCTGCAGGACCTGGCTTGAGACATCTGTCTTTCCAGCGGCCATGTCTGATTAATGATCTGGTCCCTGTGGCTATTCCCTGCCCTAAGACCCTCGATGAGACGGACTCACACAGTGGCTGCAACAAGGGACTCAAGCATGGCAATGACTGTGAGGATGGTGCAGGGCCGGCAGTGTTCCATTCTGTTGTACATGGGGTGGCCATGTGTCAAAACTGTGTCGGCACCTAACAACAAAACAAGTTCCTACGAGTGAAGGGCACCCTCTGCAGAGGCCTGTGGAGAGACCAGTGGATGAGGCAGGGACAGGGCTCAGCTCTGTGATCAGCACAAAACCCAACCTTTGAACCTTGGGCTTCAGATGTTGCACCCAAATCAAAACACCAAACCAGCTGCTGTCGAGTAGATTCCGACTCATGGCGACCCCATTTGTTACAGAGTAGAACTGCCCCATAGGGTCTTCTTGGCTGCAGTCTTTATGGAAGTAGATCACCAGGCCTTTCTTCCTTGGCATGGTTGGGTGGGTCCGAACCACCAAACTTTCAGTTAGTAGCTGAGTGCAAACCGTTCATGCCACCCAGGGATCTTGACATTGGACCAGATAGCCCCCAGAGCCCTCAGGGGTGGGATGTTCTATTACACACTGCTTTGGAGCAGGCCATTCTCCTCACTGGGTTGTCTGTGAACAGTCTACAGGTACTTGGCCAAGAGGAAGGCTTTTCTCACTCCATTCTCCTTCATGAAGCCTCTCAAGCAATGCTCCATATACAGGAGGCTCTGGATGAACGTTTACTGACTGACACATTAGCTCCATATGTTCCATATGCTCGGAAAAGCCTAATTGCTCATCCAAACCTGCAAAGTGGTGGCATCCGTACCACCACTCCTCTTTCACAGACATAGTCTGGTTGGCAATGGCAGATGTGGTGAAGCTCATTATAAGAAAGCTCAGAAAAGGAAGACAGCAGACAGGCCAAATGCCAAGTTGTCTCGAGATAACTGCAGAAACAACCGGACATATAAAGGAACTGAGACTGAGTTATGGTGCACACCCAACCCTGCCTGCAGCGAAGAGGTGAGCAATTCCCCCAGCAAGACTGCCAAGCTGGGAGAGCTAATTCCCCCTCAGCTTTAAAGGTAAAGCCACAAACAGCTGGGATGTGGCACTGCAGAAACTGTCTGTGGGTGTGCTTTTATAAAGCACCCTGTGTTTCCTCATCCAGGGGCTGCCAGAGTGTCCATCTAGGAGATGCCCTGAAAAGGCTTTGCTCCATTAGAAGCCCTGAAGAGCCAACACAGCCCTTGAAGGTCCTACAGCACAGCAGAGATTGACAACTATGCTCCCAGTCAGCTGAAGCGTTTTCACAGAGGAATGGGTCAACTGTTGGGTTATAAAACTACACGGTGTAGTGTGCATTACTCAGGACACACCTGCTGGTTCTGACTCATAGAGATCCCATAGGACAGAGCAGAGCTTCCCCACAGGGTTTCCAAGGCGATAATCTTTAGGGAAGCAGACTGCCACATCTTTCTTCCACCAAGTAACTGGTAGGTTTGAACTACTGACCTTTCAGTTGGCAGCCAAGTGCTTAACCACTGTGCCACCAGGGCTCCTTTACTCAGCACATGCACCAGAGGAAATTAAAGGATCACTATGAAGGTAAGAATCTGGAGTGGGCAGGATACCAAAAACCAAACTCACTGCTGGACTCATAGCAAGCCTATGGGACAACGCAGAAATGCCCGTTGGGGTTTCCAAGGCTGTAAATCTTTATGGAAGCAGACTGCCTCATCTTTCTCCCATGGAGCCACTGGTAGGTTCTAACCAGTGACCTTTTGGTTAGCAGCCAAGTGGTTTAACCACTGTGCCACCAGAGCTCCTCTAGTATACCATTGGAGACAAAATAGTAGGCCCTCAGTGGAGGCCCAACTGCAGGGCCAGGACTAGGGTGAGAAGAGTGAGTCAGCGAGAGTGCAAAATGTAAGCAAGCCAGGTCATGCATATTCCAGTCCTGCCTGGCTGGAAAATCGCTGGCTGTAGGGGACTTCTATAAGGGCTTGAATTATGCCCCCCAAGAATATGTGTTATAAATACTACCCCCCATTTCTGACTGCTAACCAGAAGGCTGGCAGTTCAAACCCACCAGCCGCTCCATGGAAGGAAGGTTGGGCAATCTACTTCCGTAGTGACACCGCCTCAGAAACCCAAAGAGGGGTCGCTATGAGTCAGATCCGACTTAATAGCAGTGAGTTTGGTTTTTGGTTTTGGAAGAAACTAAAAGACCTTCCTCCTCTCTCTGTCTCCCTCAGTCCATCATCTATACTTCTCTTATACCTCTTTGTCAGCACAGTGGTTGGGGACCAGGTCTGGGCTCTATCACTTACTAGCTGTGCCAACTTGGAAAAGTTACTCTGTATCTCTGAGTCTCAGTTCCATCATATGTGAAATGAAGGTAATGATGCCTATTGTGCGGGCTCGTTGTGAGGAAACACTGGGACGTAGCACACAAAGCACTTGGCACACTTCCCAGAACATGGTAAGGATAAACTGGAAACGGGCTGACTCTTACAAAGAGTAAAGCCCCACATCAAATCCTCTTAATCTCCAATTGGATTCAGAGGATCGACATTGCTGGCATCCTTCATGCTATCTTAGAATCAAATTTAAATCCTCTGTGGAGAAAAAATATATCAGCCTAGGCTCAAATTTTTCCTACATATTGTTTATATCCTAAGTCAAGCAAGCAATCAAATATAGTCAGACATGTAAGAAGATAAGAAGATGTGATTTTTAAAAAGAGAAAGAGAAACAACAAGCTGCAGTGGGGATTCTAAGAATCCATGGGATATTTTACCTCTGATCTCATCTCCAGCTCTACTTTCTCACCCTCAGTTACTCACTCCAGCCACACTGTCTCCCTGTGACACCATGGAAGAAAGTCCTGGCTATCTGCTTCCATAAAGATTACAGTCAAGAAAACCCTCTGAAGCAGTTCTACTCTATAACATATGGGATCGCCATGCATCAGAATTGACTGGACAGCAACGGGTGGTTGTTCCAAGAGACAGAGAAATGTCATGTAGGTAAGTACCAGGAGCCATTGAGGATTTTTGAAGAGGAAAATGTTATGTTTCAACTCTGGCTGAAATGTAGAGGATGGAGTGAACAATAGAAAGATAGCAAAGAGGCCAATGTAACCTTCAGATGAGAAACAAAGAGCCTGTGGGAATGGGAAGATGGGAACTGTTCAAGCAACAATTGATGGGACTGGGCTGGCTACAGATATAGATGTGACATGAAGCCACACCTTCTCAGCATGTAGGAGATCCACATGCTAATGCAGTCATGCTGACGATCACATTACTTTTTGAAGAAGTAATCAAATGAGAAGAAGTTCTAATGAAACCCTAATGAATTGCATCTTTTAGGCTACTTACCTCTAACAATGCTTCCTCTACTAAGTCAGCTGTCAGGAAGCAGCAGGGTCTTGCATTGGTACCACTCAGCCTCTCAGGAGGGAGGATGGGAGGGAGGAACATGGGACCAAAAGAGCTGAACTCTCAGAGAGCCTGCAGTGAGCAACCCATCCAGCCTCTCATTGACAGCTGAGGTAGCTGAGGCCCAGGGCACTTAAGGCTTTTTGTTGTTACCTGTTACCAAGTTGGCTGCAGCTCACGGCCATGCCTATGCACTGCAGAATGAAAGGCTTCTGGTCCGGCACCACCTCATGATCAGGGATTGGACCACTGTGACCCACAGGGCTTTTATTGGCATTTCTACCTAGCCCATCTTAGCCTAGAAGCTTCACTGAAACTTGTTCAGCATCGTGCTGTGTTGTTAGTAGGTGTCACTGAGTTGGTTTTGACTCATAACAACCCTGTGCACGACAGGATGAAACACTGCCTGGTCTTGTGCCACACTCACAATCATTGCTATGCTTGAGCCACTGTTATGACCACTGTGCCAGTCTGTCTCACTGAGGGGCTTCCCCATTTTTGCTGACCCTCTATTTTCCCTAGCACGATATCCTTCTCCAGGAACTAGTTCCTTCTGGCAATGTGACCAAAGTATGAGCAACAAAGCCTGGCCATTCTTGTTTCTATCCTTGGAAGCTTATTCAGGCTGTACTTCCCCCAAGACAGATTTGTTCATTCTTCTAGCAGTCAATGCTCTGTGCCAACACCACAATTCAAATGCATCAATTCTTCTGCAGTCTTTCTTATTCACTGTCCAGCTCTCACACGCATATAAGGCTATTGAAAATACCATGGGTTGAGTCAGGTGCATCTTAGTCTTCAAAGTGACATCACTGCTCTAAAACACTTTAAAGAGGTCTTTTGCAGCAAATTTTCCCAATGCAAATGTTTAATTTCTCGACTGCTACTTTCACGGTCATTGATTGTGGATCCATATAAAATGAAATCCTTGACAACTTCAATTTTCTCTCCATTTATCGTGACGTTGCTTGTTGCTCCGTATCACACAATGAGGCCAGGAATAGAACTCAGGCCTTCCATGTGGAAGGGAAGAATTCTGCTATTGAACCACTATCCGCTCGAAGGCAGTTTAGTGTTGCCAAAAGAGTAGGTGACTGGTGCCTCAGCTCTCCGGCACATAAAGTGGGACTTTGGACTAGTTTCCAAAGTTTTCCCAAGTCAGCCATTCTTCTCCCATCTTTGCCAAACAAGACTATTATCCGGTGCATTTTTGTTTATTAGATTTAGCTTTGTTTTTAAAAGGACACTTTGTGTTGCTAAATAAAACATGTACTTTCCACAAATGGAAAGTAACTTATAAAACAAAAACAGTGAAACCAAAACAATGTTGTTTGCAGCTAACTGGCTCTTGATCTTTTCTGGGGACATTGAACCTGAAGCCTGTGCTCTTTCTTGGAAAAAGAGGTTGCAATGAAGAGAGGCACCATAGACAGATAAAAATCAAACTTACCCCTAGATTTTGCCCCAGAAGTAGTTGAAATTTCCTCCTTATGGATTTATGTTATCTAAAGCCCTACCTCCATCCTTCTGGTTAGCAGTCAAGTGCCTTAGGCACTGCCCACCAGAGCTCCAAAGCTCTACCTCAGCTTGACCTAAAACCACTCATTTATACCCTAAAACCACTTGGACTCTCACTTTAGGTAAGACTGGACTAGATGATTTTGAAGGCTACTTCCAGCCCAGAAAGTCCATATTTCTATGTGACAGAATTATCTGGACAGAGCTAGTTTTATCAGGATTTTCCTTGGTTTATTATACTTTGAAAAATAAAAATTTATACCCTACAGACCAGCTGGGGCATAACAGCTGAAAAATCGAAACTGCTCCAAACACTTAAGGAGTTAACTTGGGTCTGTTGCCACCTGTGGCCCACAATGTGTTCTATGCCAATGTGAGCAATTCCTCAGGCCACCCTTGTGATTACCTAGATGAGAGCCCAAGATCACCAACTGCCTGCATTTATGACTAACTCTATGTTATGTGAACATATTTTACCCTGTTACAAATGCTAAATAAACCTTAATTAAATCTTTGACACCCTTGCTCTTGCTATATAAGTCTTGATGTTTTTTGGGTAACCAGAACCCATTTCTGTTCTCAGTGTGGATGCTGTCCAGGTTATGAATTGTTGTGTGCCTGAATAAAATCACCAACATTTCATTATGGACTGGATTTTTCTTTTAACATACTGGACTCTTAGAGCCTTGGGTTTTCAAAGGCATAGAGTTTTCTAGTCCTAATCTCCAGCCAATGCTGAGGTCCCTGCTTCACCATTCCTCCAAATGTTCAGTCAACTTCAGTTCCATTGAGAGAGTTTGATCTCTCACCAGGGCACACATTCCAGGTTTTAAAAGTTCTTCCTTTTAGTGGTGCTAAGATCAGACTCAACCAAAGTCTTTGATAAGATGGGCTACAAACTCATCACCATTATGTGCCACTCCCAGTCTCCAGATGTATCTGACCCCAATGCTGTTCCCTTCATCATTTGGCTCTTCAGGCTCTCCGGCTAGGATAGAGACCGGTGTCTTTGGATTCTGGGCTCTGCCCTGCCATATGAAGCAAGTCATTACCTTTACATCTGTCTCCATTTCTTCACCTAAAATAAACAGGTGGGCCTAGACATCCTGCTTTAATATTCTCTAGTCTAATAGTGTTGTTGTTGTTGTTGTTATGTGCTGTCGAGTCGGCCCTGACTCATAGCGACCCCTCCTTGGGTTTCCGAGGCAATATCACTACAGAAGTAGGATTGCCCAACCTTCCTTCCGAGGAGTGGCTGGTGGGTTTGAACCGCCAGCCTTCTGGTTAGCAGTCAAGTGCTTTTAGCCACTATGCTACCAGAGCTCCTGCCTAATAGTGTAGTAATAATAAAATAAGCAGTATTTATTGAGTGTTTATTCCACGCCAGTCACTTTAGGTAGAGTTCCTATCATCCTTAGTTTGCAGGTAAAACAAAGTAATGAAGTCATTTGCCCAAGGTCATACTGCTAACATAATCGATCCTCACTGGTCACAAATTTCCTATTTGTGAATTCACCTAGTCATTAAAATGTGCTTGCAACCCTCAAGTCAATACTCAAGGCTCTTTCTAGGTCCTTCACCTAAAGGATGTAAGGGCAAATACGAATTAAAAGGAAAAAAGAGAGAGCTTAATTCTCCCCTTGAAAAAGGGGGAAGGCATTTCTCCCCCTTCCTTTTTCTTACCACATTTACTTTAGAAAGGTTGTCGTTGTAAATTCTATCTCCGACTCTCGGAAATATATGTAAATCTTTCAAAAGGCTAAATAAGCCTCCTGATGATTTTACAACCCAGAAATGTTTCCTCAAGGACCTAGGAGCCAACTCTTTGGAATGTAATCCATCAAGGATGAGAACCTCCTTAAGTCCCAGTTTCCTTGGAGCAAAGGAAGCGCTTGTCTCCAAGCTGCAAAACTACGTCTGGTAATAAAGATACAAGAAATTAACTCTTTTATTTGAGTAAAGGCATTCAACAAAAGCAGCTGGTTCTGCCAATTACTAGATGAGTGTGGGATGAACTACATATGACAAATGGTGCCATTAAGTCCCCTTACTCAAGTTCTAGTTATTTATCATGGGAAGCTGTATGGAATGGGTTGCATCTGCTGGGCTATATAAAAGGATAATATTCTTTCTCTGTTTTTGTAATCCTGCAACTGGATAGCTTGTCATGCGCAGCACATTCTGTTTAATGCTTAGTCAATGGTATGACTGTTTTATTTCTCTTCCACTTTTGTGGACAGTTTGTGCGGGTTGGCAGGAGATTTGGCATTTAATCATGCTTCCACAATGATGAGCAGAGTGGCGAAAACTCTGAATCACCCGATGCGTATGTTCCCAGCTGAGGCTGAACGAGGCAATGTTCTGCCTTCTGGTTGCAGCTTCAGACTGTAAACAAGTGTCCTTTTCACGGTGTATTCGGTGCCACAGTTTTTGCATTTTTGTGCTTTTTGTTGCTGGCTCTGCTGTTTAAAATGGTCCCCAAGCCCAGTGCTGAATTACTGTACCCTTTAGCAAGAAGATGTTGATGTGCCTTGCAGAGGAAGTATGTGTGTTAGATAAGCTTTGTTCAGACATGGGTTATAGTGTTGTTGGCCATGAGTTCAATGTTAATGACTCAACAATGTATCAAATAAGGTGTCTTTAAACAGAAACACACATAAAACATGGTTATATACTGGTCAGTTAACAAAAACGTGACCAGAGAGAGGCTTGCAGGAAGCTCACCTGGCATCTTCCTCAGCAATGGCTCTGTTCATTATGTCATGTTAACAGAGGATATAGAAGATAACTCTTGAATAACAAGAATCTGCTGAGATCCAGACCCATCTGTTCCAGTGCCAGCACCTTCTAATTTCTCTACCAAGTGAGATTTTTTTTTTTTTTAAATTGGAATTTCTGAAAACGGGTATGCCCATAGTGGGGTGGGTCTGCCCCAAAGGGAAAGTGCCACCTGCCCTCCTGACACCTCAGTGAATGGATGGTCAAGGAGAGACACCACTCTCTGCCAGATGGATATAGACACACCTGGTCATTCTGGGCACATAGTAAGTACCCCCACCCCCGTATTTGCTCCCTGACTCTTTTGTGTCCTCTCAGTCTATAGGGAGCTCAGGGACATGTACATTTGGCAGCTCAGGAATTGTTGGCCAAATCCACAAGTCTCTTTCATCCTGTGACTCTGACTTGTAGCCCGGAGCTCTGGGAAGAGTTGGGGGCCTCCCAGGTCCCCAGAAGAAGACGCATGCAGAGACAGGATAGCAGGGAAGGGCCAGGAGCAGCTTTCGCTGGAGAGGCACGTCCAGAGAGGCCACATCTCTGACCACATAGACTGCACAGACATCCAGTGCTGCTGTAATTGCTGGTTTTCTTACCTGCAGAAGCTCAAATACAGCGAGGAGGTCCCCTCCGGAGAGGTTCCCACAGAAGATGGGGTGGTAGCTCAGCCGGGATGGCTCATAGTCTTGGTCAGCCAGCTTCACAATAGGAGCCGCCACCGTGGCACCCAGATATTCTGGCCTTCCCTAAGGCAGAAAAGAAATGGAAAAAATGGATGTTCTCCCCTGATTTCGCCTACCTGATTGACTCTTATGAGTGCAACTTTGCAAATAATCTCAACAGTGCCAGCATCAGAGCCCTCCTCTTGCTTACTGTCTCATTCTCTTCCTCTGCCAACCCCTTCTTACCTCTTTCCACTGGTTTGGGGAGCAGTGGAGACCATTCAGACTCCCAGGGAAAACTCTAAGAGGGTCATCCTAGTGGCTTCTTGGTCTAAGGTTATCTTAGAGGGTTTTATGGATTGAATTCTGTCCCCCAAAATATGTGTTGGAATCTAAACTTCTGTGTCTGCAGATGTAATCTAATTTAATGTAATGTAATCACCTTCCATAATGCAATCTAATATAATGCAAACTATCAATCAGTTGAGATCATGTCATTGTAGGGTGGACCCTAAACCTAATCATTTCTGTGTTAACTAAAGAGCAGCATTGACACAGACACATGCAGACACCAGGGAAGAAAGACTATCTGACGAGGGAGACAGATGGATCTACAAGCCCAGAACCTCAAGGACTGCTGGTCCCTAGAAGCTGAAATAGACAAAGAAGGAGCTCTCCCTGGAGCCACACTTTGAATTCAGAGGTCTAACTCTCAAACTGTGAGAAAGCAAGTTTCCGTTCTTTAAACTCACCCACTTGTGCTATTTGTGTTACAGCATCACTAGGTAACCAAACCAAAAACCAAGTCTTCTTCCATGGAGTGGCTGGTGAGATTGAACAACTAACCTTCTGGTTAGCAGTCAAATGTATTAGACACTACACCACCAGAGCTGCACTAGGTAACCAAGACAGGAGCATCTCTCTCCTCAACACGTTGAGCTCAGTGCAGTAAAATTAAAATGACATCAAGGGTAGACTTGAAGGGCAAAAGGAGAAACAAGGGGGCACAAAACATCCCAAAGGACCCGCAGGGCAGGACATTACTGTGGCTGGGGACATGAGCTCTGAAGTCCGAGCAAGCGGGGTCTGAGTCCCCAAATGTGCTACTTTCGACTCCATGGCCTTGGGCAAGCTACTGGACCTTTTGAGCCTTACACCTAAAAAGAGCGTAAAAATAATATATGTTCCATAGGGCCATGAGGATGAACTACACAATGTCTGAGCTCAGTGTCAGATTATCCAATAAGAAAGGTAAGCATGGGTTTACTTATTAGTCTACAGTGAACAAGTTCACCTTTTTTTTTTTTAATCTCCCACCAGCCACTCCTCGGAAGGAAGGTTGGGCAATCCTACTTCCATAGTGATACTGCCTCGGAAACCCAAGGAGGGGTCGCTATGAGTAGGGGCCGACTCGACGGCACACAACAACAACAACAACAACTGATTACTATAGATTAGTAAGTAAGCACAAGTAAGCCCATGCTTACTTTGCTTCCTGGGTACTCTGTCCCAGTCAGAGATTGTAAATAAATCTGAAAAGAGGCTTTGATTCTGCAGGAAGATGCTGTGGGATTGAGAGAGAAACTGATACCGACTGTACCTACAAGCAGAATCTTTGATGTGGTGAAAAAACAAAACTGTGAAATTGTTCACACTGATGCTCCATAGTGTGTCCTAAGTGCTCAACACATGATAAGATGACGGTGATGGGGGTGAAGACGATGATGAAGGTGTGTATCTTTAAATGAAGGGACTGTTGTTGTTGTTGTTGTTACGTGCCGTCGAGTTGGACCCAACTCATAGCAACCCCTCCTTGGGTTTCCGAGGCAGTACCACTACGGAAGTAGATTGCCCCATCTTCCTTCCAAGGAATGGCTGGTGGATTTGAACCACCAGCCTTCTGGTTAGCAGTCAAGTTCTGCTCAATTTTTATTGGGTAGCAAAAGAATATATTACAATACATTTGTGTATATGTGTATACACACACACACACACACACACACACACAAATACTTAAGTTTTTTGAGAAATTGTTTGAGGCCTACCTCCTGCCTCTCCCCCAGGCTCATTCCAGGAGCAGCTTGGGGCTGGAGGAATGACTCCACTTTGCTATTCGTCGCAGGGACGGCTGGAATGCAAACTCCACACAGGCAGAGTTGCCTACTTTATTCACTGCTGTGAATATACGAGTCCCTGGCACACAGCAGGCACTTGTATAGTCACTGGGTGAAAGCTGTTGGATGGGTGCCCTCCGAAGCCCCAATGCCATTCTGGCCAAAGTTTTCGCAGTCGTACTCTGTCATATCCTTTGGACTCATGAACCAGTGCATCCTAGTGGCTCCTTTTTTTTTTTTTTTTTTTTTTTATCATTCCCTTTGTTGCTGTTGTTTTAGTATATGCTGAATATTTGTGTTTTTTTTTTTTTTTTTTTTGCTGTGAAGGGTTTGGCTTGGGGTGGGACCCAGGAAGGCCATTACTGAATGGAGATCTAGAAGGGGGTCTGGAAAGCAAAGGGAAGTCCATCCCGAAGTGGGTTGGCTTAGCGGGAGCTTTCAAAGATGCTTGATTGCTGTTACTGGTTTTCAAATAAAGAAAAAGTTCTTAGGACTGGAGGTGTGTTGTCAGGAACCAAATTGAAATGGCACTTGCTTTGTGGTTTTCTCTACAGAAAATCTGTACTACATGCAAAACAGTGGAAATCATACTCCATAAGTACATACATCCACCCCAATGTACAGCCCGGATAGAGGGAGCGACATGGGGAGCCAGAGTGTCCCCCTGAAGGGGATGCAGCCATACCAGCCACATCCACACCCACAGGAAAGAGTGGGCCCAGGAAATCTACGTCTGAGTCCTAGCCTTGCGTCCAGCTAGCTGTAACCTTGAACAAGGTACTTGACCTCTCTGGGTCTCCATTTCTCTCTCAGGAAGCAAAAGGTGAACTTTATGTCTCTGAAGTCCCTGCTCACCTATGATTCTTACACCCTAACTCCCTCCTGACCTTGAACGGAGGCCTGGGCTGCCAGGAAAGCTTCCTGGGAAATTTTATTTGCTGTGCTTAATGTATTTGAGCTTTTGCACCTCCAAAGGAGGTCGAGATTCCAATAAAATAAGCAAACCATCACTGTTCCTTCAGTCTTTTTTAATTAAAAGAATATTTGTCTTTGTGATTATATATTTAAAAAGTTCTTCCGGTAAGCTAGTGAATCTACTCAAGGTTTCAGAACAGACATCTTGCAGAGGAAGAGGCTTGGTTTCCCTCCTAACAGAAAAGGGGCAGAGATGAATGTGTTACTGCAGGCTTGGAAGCAACAACCAAGAAACAGACCTAGTCATGAGGCCAAGTTGGTGACAACACACATCCATATCCTTCCAGCCATGCAAGATCAGTAAAAAAACTCCTGTTTCCCAGAGACCTGGACCATTTTATCAAATACAATTGGACATGGAACTAGCTGGGGAAGTGGATACGGGTATAGTTTGCTTTATGAAAGTAATAGTTGCCATCAAGTCAATCCCAAGTCATGATGACCTGTGTGTCAGAGCAGAACTGGGCTCCATGGGGTTTTCAATGGCTGATGTTCTTTCTTCCAAAGTGTCTCTGGGTCAGTTCAAACTTCCAACCTTTCTGTTAGCAAATGAGCACATTTACCATTGTACACCCAGGAATTCAGGTTGCTTTAGACAGGTATTATATTCCTGAAAAGTATGTGCTGATTCAAGTTTTGTAAACCACATTCTATTTTTAATTGCAATTTAAAGAAAAATCTAATCTAATCTTTGGTAAAGCAAGTGACCATCACTAATTTTCCTGGTTCTGTAAACCATCGTCTCCTACAGGTTTGCCTCCAGGTAAATGTGACTAGTCATGGACCAATTAAAGAAAGTGAGTTAGTTCAATGGGGTGTTCTTAATGAGGTACAGTGGGCACTGCCCCAGGAGCCTCACCACTGCATCGCTGTCATAGAGCTCCACCACCACGGAGGGTGGGGACTCCACCAGCTCCTTCTGGTCTCCATGCAGCACCAAGTCATTGAATAGCAGCATCTGGTTCCACGTGGGAGACAGGGTCTGGGAAATCACCTGGAACAAAAGATCATTCCGTTGGTTGTAGAGGGTGCCAGGGTGTAGTCAACATTTACTTAAGAAGGGCAGAGAGAACACATCATCATCATCTTCATCCTTCATTCACTGAACTTCCAAGCAACAGCATATACTAAGCCTCTACTATGTGCTAGATGTTAAGGGATACAAAGATTCCCCACCCTCAAGGAATTTATATTCTTAATAAGTTTCATGAGCAAGCCTCTACAATGTTTAACAGCCTACTTACATTCATAACTTCAACTCAACCCTTACAAGAGTGCTGTGAAGGTAATACTGTAGTCGTTAGGTGGTGTTGAGTCAATCCAATTCATAGTGACCCCATATAAAACAGAAGAAAACACTGCCCAGTCCTGTGCCATTCTCATAATTATTGTTGTTCAAGCCTATTGTTGCAGCCACTGTGCCACTCCATCTTATTGATCTTCTTTCTCACTGACCCTCTACTTTACATAGCATGATATCCTTCTCCAGGGATTGGTCCTTTCTGACAACATGACCAAAGTAGGTGAGATGATGTCTGACCACTCTTTTTTTCTAAGGAGCATTCTGGCTGCACTTATTCCAGGACAGATTTGTTGATGATAATACTAACTACCCTTTATTGATCATCCACTATGTGCTGGTTACTCTGTTTCTTATGCATGGTCTCATTCAAACTTCACACAGTCCTGGGAGATGGGTACAGCTATTTGCCAACATTTCATAGACCAGAAACTGAGGCTCAGTTGTCCAGAGCAAGAAAGGGTAGAACTGAGATTCAACCTGGGTCACCTGGCACCAAAGCCGAGGCTGCTAAGCTCTGCCCATCTGCATCAAGTAGCTGTTAAAATGTACCCTGTGTTATGGAGAGGCAAACTGAGGACGGGGGAGATCTACCGATTCTTCAGCTATGAGCAAGTAACTTTCCATCATCAAATCTCCTTCTATGGAGTTAAGCTAATATTCCTTACACTGAATTCTACTGTTTTTTAGATATTGATTTGATGGTAATGAACCGACCAGGGTCTTCAACACACCCCTCACCATTTGCACAACCTCTTTCTTTCATGGAATTTGCTTATGGAGCAGTGACATTAATAGTTGGCTGTATCCTTTATACAGATGGAGAAACCAAAGGACAAAAATGGACAATCACCTGCATGATTGGTCCAGAATCACGAGGATCTTACCTAGAGGTGACTCACAAGCCCTCTGCCAGGCTATGCAAGTGGTGCCTTTAGAAAACCAGAAAACCAAACTCATTACATTTGAGTCGATTCCAACTCATAGTGTAGAACAGTGTAAAACTGCCCCATTGGGTTTCCAAGGCTGTAATCTTTACAGAAGCAGAGGGATACTGTGGCAAAATGGCTAGTGGGTTTGAACCACTGACCTTTTGGTTAGCAGTCAAATGCTTAACCACTGTGCCACTAGGGTCCCTGGTGCCTTTGTGGTGCCTTTGAAATGGAGGGTATGTTTGGGCTTATATCTTCTCCTCTGTTTAGTCAGATATTTGTAACCATGACAGTTTTACAGAGCCAAAGGCCAAGGTTGTTTGCAGAGTGGAAGAACTCTGGCTGAGTAGAAGCTGCCCTATGAGTATGTGAGACCAGTCCTAGAGAAAGGAGGGCCAACTCTGCAGACCCCAATCACATTACCCTCTCTCCCTGGCTGAGCAGACAAATGGAAGCTTGCACACATCAACACACCACAGCGGCTTCTGGGTCCACAACACCTTTGTGGAAATTTCCACAACACCCCTGACCTCTTGCTCTCTCTCTGTCACTCCAGAAGGCAAGTCCTGTCCTGGATTGACTCCCCAGACTCCAAAGCCCAAATAAAACTGCCATCATCTCAGGGGAGTCTTACATCAAGAGTCATCTCTACTTGTGGCATTAAATCATTTGCACCATTGTCACGAAAGAATATTTTTATTGCTCTTCTTAATGTGAGTCATAAAATTACTGTGTGCTTTCACATTGCCCTTTCTTTCTTGCATTTAGAGTACTTTATGCTTCAGAAGCAATGAAGTATATTTGTCATCCCTCATTCATTCAACTCTCAACCTGACATTTCAAAGAAAATCTCTAACTTTTCTGCCAAGGGGAGAATGACTCCAACAGACCTAAAAACAGACGTCACAGAACGCAGTGAAAAGTCACTCCGTGTCTGTGACTGATGTCACACACACGCACTAAAAAAACATTAGGTTTCATGTTGTCTTAAAAATAGAAACGTGGTCTCTTCAGCAGCAGGCACCTGACTGCTGTGAAACCAAAGCAGTTTTATGATCTTTACAGCATCTTTCCTGAGCAGATATTTTGATGGCTTCCTTGACACTTGATAAACTTCCATCCATCCATCCATCCATCCATCCACCCATCCATCCATCCATACATACACCCACCCACCCATTCATTCAATACATATTTATTCAAAATATACAAAGTTCTAAGCACAGTATTAGGCTGTAACTTAGCATCCCAAATACAGAAGGTATTCAACAAACATATGCATGAATGAATGAGTGGGTGTTGATCTATCCTCAGAATTGGTCCCAAGAGTAGAAGGGACACTTTCAAGAAATGTTGAAGGCTCATCCAACCAAAATTACATTCTTTCACTTCTCTGCCAGGTGCCCATGGTTACCCTCTTATAGGCTCCCTTAAGGTTGTTGTTGTTGTTGTTATCTGCTATTGAGTCATCACCGACTCATAGTGACCTTATGTTCAACAGAATGAAACATTGCCTGGTCCTGTGCCAGCTCCATGATCCTTGCTATACGTGAGCCCATCGCCGCTACCACTGTGTCAATCCATCTCTCTGAGGCCTTTCTCCTCTTTCGTTGACACTCCACCTTACCAAGCATGACATCCTTCTTCTGAGAATGGTCCCTCTGACAACATGACCAAAGTAGGTGACATGAAGTCTGGCCATCCTCCCTTCCAAGGAGCATTCCGGCTGCATTTCTTCCAGGACAGATTTGTTAGTTCTTTTAGCAGTCCACGGTACTTTCAGCATTCTTCGCTAGCACCACAACTCAAAAGCATCAACTCTTCTTCAGTCTTTCTTATTCATTGTCCAGCTCTCACATGCATATGAGGCAATTGAAAATACCATGGCTTGGGTTAGGCACATCTTAGTCTTCAAGGAGATATCTTTGCTTTTCAGCACTTGAAAGAGGTCTTTTGCAACAGATTTGCCCAATGTAATATGTCTTTTGATGTGTTGACTGCTGTTTCCATTGGCGTTGATTGTAGAACCAAGTAATATGAAGTCTTTTACAACTTCAGTCTTTTCTCCATTCATCATGATACTGCTTATTGGTCCAGTTGTGAGGATTTTTGTTTCCTTTGTATTGAGATGTAATCCATACTGCAGACTATAGTCTTTAATCTTCATCAGTAAGTCTCCAAGTCATCCTCACTTTCAGCAAGCAAAGTTGTGTTATCTGTGTGTCTCAGGTTGTTAATGAGCCTTCCTCCAATCCTGACGCCACACTCTTCTTCATATAGTTCAGCTTCTCAGACTATTTTTTCAGCATACAGACTGAATAAGTACGGTGAAAGGATACAACCCTGACACAGTCGTTTCCTGATTTTAAACCATGTAGTATCATCCCCTTGTTCTGTTCAAACGACAGCCGCCTGGTCTATGTACAGGTTCCTCAAGAGTACAATTAAGTGTTCTGGAATTCCCATTCTTCTCAGTGTTATCCACAATTTGTTATGATCCACACAATTGAATGTCTTTGCATAATCAATAGAACACAAATAAATATCTGTTTGGTATTCTTTGTTTTCAGCCAAGATCCATCTGACATCAGCAACAATATCCCTCACTCCACATCCCCTTCTGAATCCAGCTTGTGTTTCTGCAAGTTCTCTGTCAATATACTGCTGCAACCATTTTTGAATTATCTTCAGTAAGATTTTACTTGTGTGCAATATTAATGATATTGTTCGATAATTTCCACATTCTGTGGAATCACCTTTTTTTTTGGAATGGGTACAAATATGGATCTCTTCCAGTTCGTTGGTCAGGTAGCTGTCTTCCAAATCTCTTGGCAAGCCAAGTGAGAGCCTCCAGCATGGCATTTGTTTGTTGAAACATCTCAATGGGTATTCCGTCAATTACTGGAGCCTTGGTTTTCACCAGCTCCTTCAGTGCAGCTTCAACTTCTTCCTTCAATACCACTGGTTCTTTTCTTTCTTTCTATCTTTCTTTATACATTTTATTGAAATATAATTTATATACAGTGAAATACACAAAACTAAAGTGACATGGGTTAATGCATTTTTTTTTTCAGTGTGCCCCCCCTCCCCTCCCACCCATGGTAATCAACAAAGAAAGTTTCCTTCCATTTATAAACCTTTTCTTGAGTTTTTACAATAAAAAACCAAGGCTATATTTGTCCTTCTGTGATTGATTTATTTCACTCAGCATAATGTCCTCCAAATTCATCCATGTTATGGTGTTTTATAGATTCTACATTTTTCTTTAGTGTTGCATAGTATTCCATTGTGTGTATGTACCAAATAGTTTGGTAATCCATTCTTCTGTTGTACATTGTTTCCATCTTTTTGCTATTGTAAATAGTGCCGCAATGAACATGGGTGTGCATATATCTGTTCTTGCCCTGGCTCTCACTACTTTAGGATATATACCCAGTAATGAGATTGTTGAGTCAAATGGTATTTTTAATTTCAGATTTTTAAGGAATCACCATACTGCTTTCCACCGTGTTTGTGTCATTTTACAT